GCGCAAGATCCTTCAGCTCCTGCGTCTGCGCCAGATCTTCAACACCGTTTTCGTGCGTCTGAACAAGCCGATGGAGAACATGCTCCGTGCCGTGGAGCCTTACATTGCGTACGGCTACCCTTCCCTGCGCACGGTCCGTGCGATGGTGTACAAGCGTGGGCACCTGAAGGTCAACGGCCAGCGCGTGAAGATCGCCGACAACAAGATGATCAAGGACAAGTACAACAACGAGGACATTGTTTGCGCCGAGGACATCGTGAACCAGATCTACACCGCGGGCAAGCACTTCCGCACCGTGACGAACGGAATGTGGCCCTTCAAGCTGTCGCCGCCCACCGGTGGCATGCGCCAGAAGCGTCGCCACTTTGTTGAGGGCGGTGACTACGGCAACCGCGACACCCTCATCAACCGTTTCCTCGCCCGCATGATTTAAGTTGAGCTTCTCTGTTTTTCTTTAATTTTTTTAGTTCGTTCTTTTTGTTTTGTTTTATACTTCCTTGTTGACTGGTACTGCCTTCGTTGTTGGCGCTTCCCCCCCCCCTCCCTCTCTCTCTCCTGAGTTGATGTGGGTGTGTGCGTGTCGTTTTGCTGCTTCCCCCCGATTTTTCGTATGAGTGCATCTCTCCTCACTTTTTTCCCGTGTTAGCCTCGCTGGTGGGGACGGAAGACGAAGAAGAAAATAATACTAACAATCTTGCATGTCGAATGGAGCTGCAGGGGACGCAGCCACACAAGCAACTGCAAACAGCATGCGATGCGAAGGGGAGGGCTGAAGTCCTTCGGCATCTCGCGCTGAAAAGGCCAGAGACGAAACCTGCCGCACGAGAGGCTCTCACAGGCCACGTTTTGACAGCAATGCGAGGCGGCGACGAGGAGGCGGGCGCACGCAAAGGCCCCAACGTGTGTCGCCCGCGGCAGCCGCCAAAGGGGGAGAATGAAGCTGTACATGCGCCCCGCAAGACCATGGTGCACAATGGTGGACTGAGGGAACGGTATGCGCTTGTGATGCAGATGCGCTCTAATGAAACGCAGGAGGCCCTTGCCCGTGAAGGCGATCTCTCGCGTATCATCATTGATCTGCAGAAGAGCATGGCCGACATGAAGGCGTCACGTGAACTCGAGCGTGAGGTTCACGCACGAGAATCTTTTTATCTTCTTAAAGAAAACGAGTCTCTCAAGAACCAGGTACGGGTGGCGGAGAAACTGCTTGCGGACGCCCGGAGCATGCACGATTTGGAGCTTTCCGGTCTGAGGAAGAAGGTCTCTGACATGGAAGACCTTCTTGCCGGTGAACAGGAACATAGCAAGACGAGGGAGGCTGAGCAGGAACGTGTCATTCAGCAGCTGTGCAACAGCCTTTACACCACGCAGAAGGAGCTGGAGCGCTACATGGGGGATAGACCGCGAGTTGGCTTCTGCGAAGCAATTCGTGGCGGAACTGAGGGCAGAGAGCCGGAGGTCCCAGCGGGAGTGCGGTGTGTGGCAGGAGATACTTAGACGACGTGAGGTGTTTATGTTGCTCGAGCGCGATGCGATTGTGGAGCTGCAATGCCGCTGCATGCAGGAAAGGAGTTGTTTTTGGCGACTGCACGATGAATTGCATCAACGCCTATTGTCTAGTAAGCTGGAGCAATTTCTCAACCAAGTGCGAAGCGAGGCTGAGTTATGTGAAAAACTGAAGCAGTTGATGTTGGAGAGCGCCACGGCCGCGCTGGAGAGAGAGGGATGGATGTCACGTCACCTTTCCAAGTCGCAGGAACTCTCTCGCATGGGTGAGCAACACGAGGCGCTCTCTGTTCTACTGACTCAATATTTGCGGGAGTTGGAGGAACGCCAGGAGATGAATCTAGACCAGGCCTTGCGTCGGAAGGCATTAGATGACGCGACACTTAGCTATGTGCTTCGTCAACGTGACGAGGAAGTTTCGGACAAACTGCAGACGTGGAAGGATGCACTCCGGGAGGCGCATAAACTTTTGACTGCGCTACTCAAGCGGTATGAACCCTTTCAACGTGGAGATGAAGTTTTTGTCGCGAGGGTGATGGAATGGCTGGTGAGCGCTCCACATGTTAAACAAATTGTCGATGCATGTGCTTGCTAATCTATTGCTGTTTATTATCATGTACGTTTTTTTTTACCTGTGTATATGTCTTGCTGGGGATCTTTGTAGGGCGGTGCATGGTGTGCGTTTGCGCCTCCCCGCGCCCACTTCATATGAAAGGGGTTCATCTGCAGAACGCAATAATAATGCAATTAAAAAAGAAAACTGCAGTCGTGTAGGTTTGCGCAGCTTCAATGGCGAACAGATATTCCGTGTGGAGTATCCGCTTTTCTTCCCAGACTTCTTTTTTTTTGGTCACTTTTTAGCGACGCCTAAGCATTAATGGATGTTGGATGCTGCCAGGCGGAAGTCGGCAAACTGATTCGAGATAAGGCGGAAGAGCTGAATGATGTTGGGGCCGCGTTGGCGTTTGTGCACCACCATGTCCTCGACAAGCTGCAGACGTCGGAGTCCGTGCCACCCGTGCCTGATGTCTTCCCGCCGTGTGCCCTACAACGTGTTTCTGGCCAGTTGTGCCGTTGTCGGGGCATGATTCAGGAGGTGGAGCCAAACCTCTCGCTATACCGGGCCTCTTCTTTGGACTTCTTTGGTGGCACCGAGGATGAAAACACGACGATGCTAGAGGCCACCCTCCTTTACGTCATTCCTGTGCCCGGCAACTCCTACTTTTACGACGCCCCACCGGAGGGGCAGAGCGAGGAACGAGCTGCCGCCTCCAACCTGCCAGCTCCGGGGCACACCTCCGGCGATCGCAAGCGCCGGGAGCGGCCTGATCGGCAACTGCAAAACTCAGACGTGGAGCGTGACTCCAAACAGCCTCGTCAGGAACCGGCATCCAGATGCGGTGAGGTTCCTCAATCAATGTTAAATGTACCGCTCTACCAGAAGCTCAATCTCCCACACCCACCTCTTAGTGGACTACTTCACACGGCGTGTGTCGTAACGGTGATTCAGCACTCCGCTGTCGACGGCAACCGGCTGCAGCTCAACGATGTCGTGGACTTTTTTGGTTTCCTGGACGATGACTTGGCAGCCACCGGCTCTCAGAGTTTGGATCCAGCCGACGAGTTTGGGGCCTTTGCTTCCTGGCATGCAGAGCAACTTCCGCCGTCGCTGCTCTCGCGGATGACATGCATATCGTGGAGACATGTTTTTTTTGCCCCAATGCGTCCATTAGCATCACACTACTTTGAAAGTAAGCGCTCACTGGTTGTGCTTTATTTGGCAAACACTATTTGTCAAGGCGATGCCCTACTTGCTGAATACGTTCTTTTGCATCTATGCGCCCGTGTCATCACGCATGAGCGTGCAACACCTATTGGTGATATTCCTCTCCGCGTAGAAGCGCAAACCATTGACCCCGAGGCGTGGTCATCGTTTATGCGCAGCATTGCGCCCGTAGGTGAGGTGCTGTTTGCCGCGTCGCAGTTGTCAAGCGTCGATCTTCGCATTGCGCCCCGACAGGATCACATGACGAATGTGCTTCGCACCGGTGCTTTGCAGTTGGCTAACGGAACGCACGTGACTTTAGATTGCCAGGCCGTTTCAAAGGCAAGCAGTGCTTTGCATGACGCTCTTTTCACCGTAATACATAAGCAGGTGCTTCCGCTTCAATACCCTTATCAGGTGCATGAACTGCCCATTGACCTCAGCTTCCTTGCTCTTTCTACAGTGAGGCTTTCGGAGGAAATTGACGCCCTCCAACTTGCCACCTCCGTGCGATGGTTGCCGGAGCTTCCAATGGCCGCAACGCACGCCGCAAATATTTCGGCGAAGGACGTGCGTGATTATCTTTCGCATGTGCGGTGCGTCCGTCGAGGGTTTGACTGTGAGGGCACTTCCCAGGCGCGTCGCTTGGCTGACAAGTTGGTCGACTTTTCGAAGTCGGAGCCAGCCTGGAATAACCACGATCCGTTTATTCATAACAATTCCTTTTCCATGGCTGCCGCACTTATGCGCGCCTGTGCGGCGAGTTTTGGTCGAGAGAGGATCTCCGATGACGATGTTGAGCATGTTCTTCGTCTTGAAAAGGATCGGGTGGCACGCTGCTGTTAAGCGCCCCCCCCCAAAAAAAAAAAAACCAAACACACACACAGGGTGCCTTTCTGCGGGAGAAGACGGTCTTGGGTCGTGCTTGCGTTCTTCTTCCTTTCCATCGGTGTGTGTGCTCGACCTCGGTGAGTCTCGCTGAACACATACACAGAGAGAGGGAGAGTGTGTGTGTGACGTATGGGCGGTGTGCTGTTGTTTTTTATACCAAGATTACTATTATTTTTTTCCCCTCTATTTTTTTTGTTTTATTTTGATTTTGGCATTCTGGTGGACCGCATAGACGAAACGACTCACCTTGAAATACTTGCGGTGTTTACAAGCAATGCCCCTTAAGGAAGTGGCTCCCTATTGCTTTACCCTTTCACCGGATTCACCTCTGTGGGGGCAGATTCAAAGGGCATATCGTTGGTACTCCCCCAAGTTTTCGCCACATGATGTTCCTCAGTTTGCCGATGTGGGGAGTATTACAGAAGACCCGGCTCTAATGCGTGCGATACGCGATTTTCTCGTGGATCGTTACAGGAAGTTTCCAGAACCGCCGACGCACATACTGGGCTTTGACGCGCGTGGGTTTCTTCTTGGGCCAATGGTAGCTGTGGAGCTTGGTGTGCCTTTTGTGCTCCTGCGAAAAGCGGGGAAGAACGCCGGCGTCCTCATTTCCAGTGAACCCTTTGAGAAGGAATACAAGGAAAAGAACCCAGAGGTTATGACCGTACGCCTTGGAAGCATTGGCAAAGGTTCACGTGTTGTTCTTGTCGATGACGTTTTGGCCACTGGAGGGACGGCTTTGTCAGGATTGCAGCTTGCTGAGGCGTCTGGGGCCACTGTTCTTGAGTTCTTTGCGATTCTTGGACTTACATTCTTGAAGGGAGCACAGCTCTCACATTCCTACGGAAATGGTCGCTTCAGCCAGCTCCCATTCCTTACACTTGTGGACGAAAGTGCACTAACCGATGCGAATTGTGGTGATGTGGTTGGCTACGAAGGTCCTCGGACCATAAGCTATCGCGAGGCGCTGAGCAGGCTCTAGCTGGCTTTTGCGCACCACGCAATAGCCAGGACCGTGCATGTCTTTTGCCTTTTCCGTTGTTTTTTCTTCCTTTACAACGATGGAATAAAACTGGGAGGAGGATAGTGGAGACCAATGTCCATGCATTGATATAAAACCTGATAATGTCGACACAAACTTTTTTTTTTGCTTTTTAAATGTACGTGCTTGCGCCGGCAATGTGTAGTGGATTAACCGTGAGGAAGGGGGAGCTGCTGCGTGGGGGAGAGAGAAAGAGGGAAGGACAGGGGAATCTAAGGACCGCCAATACGAAAATCAAATGGGGTAATATATATATTGTTCATGGTATTTGAAGAAGTGCTCTGGCGACAATCCTCCAGTGGATAATAAAAAGGGAGTCACTGCCGCTTACATAATTCTCTCTTCCTCTTTATGCCCACAACGTGGTTGTGCTCGATGGAGAGTTTTTGCCTTTATATATATATATATATATATATATATATTGGGTGTGTGTGTGTGTGTGTGCGTACATGTGCACGTCTGGATGAGCGTTGTAGGAGGTGATAAGAGCTATTGAAGCTTTTTTTTTCTGTTGGCTCATTGCTGTAATTTTTTCTTTCGGCGGCTCTTTTCAAAGTTTCTGGTTTATTTGATTTTTCCTAGTTGAAATGGCGGTTGTTGAACGCTCTCCGAAGCATCTTGTACTTTCGGAATCGCACCCTCTATCTAAGGAGCTCTACGCAAATGTATTTGGCGAAGTACTGTCTTCAAAGCATGGCACTGTCACCCAATTGTTCGACGTCAGCAGCATTACTGAGAGGCCGCTCCTCTTCAAGAAGGTGATTGGGTTCTTGGCGGAGCGGTACCGTGCGATGGGCAAGGCCGGGCCGACGCACATTCTCTCCTTGGAGTCTCGCGGGTACGTCATTGGAGCGCCGCTGGCTTTTGAACTTGGCATTCCTTTTGTACTCGCTCAAGTGACAAAACGGTTTCCGTCTTCTTTTGTCCACGAGGACAAAGCCCTCACATACCTGCCCCCATCTTTTTCCATTCGTAACGGCAGTCTTTCGAAGGACTCTCGCGTTGTCATTGCAGATGACTTCATTGCGACCGGCCGGTCCCTCACCTCCGTCCTACGGCTCACCGAAGAAATTGTCGGCGCCGCGGTGGTTGAGGCGGTGGTGGTGTGTGATGTGCCGTTGCTCAACGGTGTTGAGGCCGTGCACAACTCCGAGGGTGCTCGCTTCAAAAAGACTCCTATATTTACGCTTATGCACTTTAATGCCACACAGGAAACGATACACAACCAGCTTGTTGCCCACAGTACCCAACTGACATGTCACAAGCTGTGAGCTGCTCGTGTGTGGGGTTGATACTGCAATTTGGTACCACAGCGCGTTGCCCACTTATGCGGCTCTCATGCTGGGAAGTCGTGAAACAAATCAAGACGAGTTAAGTAAAAGAAGAAAATGAAGGGAAATCATTGCGGCGTGGATTTTGTATGACCGCTTTCATTCAGCCTCCTACAACGTCCTTCTCGCACTCCTCACAAGGAATGATGCATGGGTTTGTTTTTCAAAACGGCAGGGGGCGTGGGTGTCGGGGGACCAGTAAAGGCGATATAATCGGCAAAGCAGGAACTAATGAAAAGAAAACAGACGGAACAACAAAGGCGACCGTGGGAGTTCCTTTTTTTTTTTTCTTTCTCTCTCTCTCTCTCTCTCTCTGTGTGGGTGTTGTAGCGGTGGTTCTCCCACCCACATGTGCCCTGCCCAATGTTAGTGTTAGGGAAGCTCCGTCCGTGAAATGGTGGATAGTCTTTTTGCTTTTTTTTTCTTGGGAATTTGCAACCGTTCCAGCTGAATTATTTTCTTGCATCGCGTTGAATTGTGTAGCACGTATTCCTCGTGCTTTTTTTTTCTTTTTTCTTTCTCTTGCGGCTTTCTCGACGCCGTGATGTTGCCCTTTGCTTTTTCTTTTGTGTGTGTGCGCTCTCTCACCCTCTCACTCTTCGTGCGGAAGTGGATTTTGGCGCAGACGCGGCGTGCCCCCATTTCTTCCTGATGACGCTTCATTCTGGGGGGAGCAATGCCGCGATGTTCTATGCGATGGCCCTGTCATCCGACCAGATGCTGTTTTATCTCTACCACAAGGGGAGCTATGCTGACAATCCGGTCATGCTGCGCAGCCCCAAACCGATGGTGATGCGAGACGTGTTTCTGACCAAGTGCTCGAGCTTCTTCCCCAACCCGCTCTCGTGCGTGTACGTCCATACTCTCGGCGATGCGGTGTTGAATTGTTTGGCGTCATGGTTTCTGGTAAAACCCGTTGTGGATGTTATTGGATGGAGATCGGGTCTTGCACTCTACGCTGGTTCAGGACTGGTCAGCAGTTTTGCCTACCTGTTTGGATGTCAGCTGAGCAGTACAAAGACCAACACATGCTTTGATTGCGCCGCGACATCTAATGGTGCGTTTGCCGGTTTTGCGGCTCTCAGCCTGATACTGCCAAAGTGTTATTTGCCTGCGAGCAAGCGAGTCCCAGTGTACTACTTTGGTATCCCGTATCTTGCGAAGTGCACGTATGATGAGTATATTGGACCCAAATTTGTGGAGAAAAGGGAGGCAGGTGCCATAGAACTGCGTAACTGGGGATTCGTCGGTGGCGTGTTCTTTGCATTTATGTTTTCCTCCTTAGTGTTAAGGACGCGCAGCGACTTTGGGAGAATGAATTTGTTTTGGGCGAACTTGAAAAAAATGCCCTTGTAGTTTTGCTTGCACTGTCATTACCGTGCAATGTAGGGAGGATGGAGGGCGGAATACGTAGACGGTGTGCTTAACGATGATGTGCAGTACTTACACCTGTTTCCTGTTTTTTTGTCTTTCATCTCTAGAAACCTCGTCTACTTTATTTCTCTTTTGCGACGTACAAGTACATTATTATCTTTTTATTGATGTGCTGCACTGAATATGCCTCTTCCCTCCCTTTGCGTCTTTACCACTACTACTACTACTACTACTACTACTATTATTATTGCTTTTGTTGTTATTTTTCTTTATAGGTCTAGGAGTTTGTCTTAATTTTTGCTTTTCGCCATTTGGATTGCGTTTCCGTCTCATGCGCTTAGATTATAACCATCAAAGCGAAATTTTTGTCATTCTCCTCATAAATGATGAACCTTGCGAGGGAATTACGTTGTCCGTTGAAGGCGATTTTCCTCTGACTTCGCCTGTAACGCGATGCATCAACACATCTGCTATTCAACACGCCGCACGACGCTATAATGGGCTGTATGAGCTGTCGTTCACCATGAGGCTAGGAGATGGTAAATTAAGTGACTATGCAAAGGGGCGAACGGTTGGCCATGTTCTTCTACCATGTGGTAAAGTACACTACCTTGGACCGCTAATGCCGTCCGGTGAAAATGTGGACTCCGCCGTGTTTGTTGAGGAAGTACCCTACACCATTCAGCTCCGCTTTTCTCTGGACAAAAATCTCCGTGAGGGTGAGGTGGCGGCGTGGCCAGCAGAGTTACTTCTTGCCGAGCATGTCATGGCAGTTATCGACAATGACGACCTCTCCGGATCTGTTCCGTCTTCACATGTGCAGAATCTTGTGCGCGAGTTACCCTTTTATAATAATGGCATGAGACGATTCAAAAATTGGTCTCTCTTTGCACATTTTTTTGCCGACAACTACCATTTTTGGGTGCTGGTAAAGTATTCAGAGGAGGAACATCAGAAACTTGGTTTCAGCAAACTGATGCTTGCCGGCGAACTGCGTATGGTATCGAAAAAATTTCTGCATTGCTACACGAAGGCGGATAAAGAGCGAGATATCATTCGTCACGAGGCTTTTTTGGAGTTTCAGCAGTTGCTGTTCTCATTTACAGGGCCTTCTGATGGCAGCAGACGCAGTCCGCGACTGAGCAATGAAGCCTTTCGAGCGCTTGGGGAATCGCGTAGTTTTCAAACCCTAAATACCGCCAACTACGTTCGCATTCTTCGGACCATTGCGCTGGACCCTGAGCGCTACGTCCTCTTTGACCCGCTCCATCCCATTCGCATTGATTGGAAATACTCTGACGAGACCACCCCCGCTCTCGTGCAGGCGTGCCTGACCTGAGGCAGGGTTTGACAGCACAAATATCACAAAACCTATCTTATTACCGAAATACACCTATATGCATTGACTTCCGTTTCTTTTTTTTCTTTTGCGTTTTTTTTTTTACTTCTTTCCTGTGAACAAATGTTAATTTTTTTTTTTTATAATGTGTGTTGAAGTTCAGCACCAGAGGGCATTATGTGAATCGCCATATTTACTGCAGAGATACGCTCTTAATGTTTTGGTAGACCTTGTGTAGACATACCCACTTACATATGCCTTCTGTGCTTTTTTCCCCTCCCCTTCTCTCTTCTACTTTGTTAAGGCTTTAATGCGTTTTCAAATCATTGCATTGCAGCTGTGAAAACAAAAGCAAAAAGAAAACGAGGGTGTCTCTTGATGCATGGTGCCATGTTTCTTTTCTTTTTTTTATTCACTCTCTTTCCCTTTGAAGTCATGGTTAATCCGTGTCCTCCCTTCCCCTACTCGGCCTCACTTCATCTCCATCTTTGGGTTTCTGTTTTCGTTGGGTCTTAGTTGTTCTTGTGAGTCTTCTGTAGAAAGGACCACCGTGGTACAATGCCCGGTAGACGCGGCAAGCAGCGCGTGAAGCGGAAGAAGTCGAAGCGGCAAAGGCCGTCGGAGATGGAACGCACCCTCGTAGATAGCATTCATGGACGTCGGAGGAGGGAGCGCGACATACTGAAAAATCATATCCCACCGCCTGTAAAGCCGCGTAGCACCAGGGTGGTGCTGAGTACCACGCTTCCCATGTTTAATCCTCTGCCCCCCACAAGCGTTGAAGCGGCAGAGCCGATAAAAGCAATGCCTAGTAAGCGGAGGAAGGGGTCACACCTTCGCAAAGCCTAGCGACGGCAAATTTCAGGAGACATGCATGCATCTTTTCCCTTTTTAACGTGTGTGCGTGCATGTAAACAGGGGTGGGAGATGGGACGCCTTGTGGCAGTGACCGCGCGAGTCTCCGTGGCCCTTCTTCTCTCCTTGTTTTTTTTTTCATACTACTACCACTGCTAATAATGATAACTAAAAAGCAAACAAGGAAGGGCAAGTAAAAGATGATAGCCTGAAAAACTTACTGCGTGTATTGTCATCTTTTTTTTTCTTGGCGCTCTTGCTTTTCAGCCCCAGCCTTCTTTTTTTTTCCCCCTCATTTGCTTCTTTCGCAATTACTCCCTTTATCTTGCCGCCAGTGTGCTTGTGTGTCTTCTCTTTATAGGCAAGGCAGAAAACTGGACTCGGCGTCAGCCTAATGACATCGGTAGCGTTTGACATTGGTAGCTGCTTTACCAAGGTCTATTTTGGCGGTGACCTCCCTGGCAGACGCGTGTTTGAGACACCCGTAGGTGTTCGGCAACTCAAGCAGCGCTTTGATTTGACATCGACGAGTATGGTGTTGGATTCGTTCCTGAGAAGGTTGTGCTCCACTGCGAGTATACTCGCGTGTTGTAAGGAGATTGAAGTACTAGTTTCACCTGGCGATTCCACTTTGTTTGCGCAGTATGTCTCGCGTTGGTTTGCTTCAGCCTCGTGGAATGGAGTGTCAAGAGTTGTAGATGCCTTTTCTTGGTTGCTGGAGGCGCAGGGGGCGAACGACGGTTGCGTGGTGGACATTGGTTACCAAGCCACCCGCGTTGTTCCCATTCTCTCTTCGATCCCGGTGGTAGAGGCCATTGCCCTTGGGAGTGGCATGCGAGAGTTACTTGCCCTGACGGTGGAGGGGTGGGCGAGTTCGCCTGAGGCCGCTTCAGCGTCAACATCGCCGCAGCCTTTAGTGGCGGAGGTGTCGCAGTGCATACTCGCGATTCTTGAAGAAGCTGTGATGCATTGCAACAGGTATACGCAGCGGCCTTTTGTCTGCGGCCTGTTTCTCCTCACCGGAGGTGGAGTGGCAGTGGAGGGAGTAGTGGGGAGAATTCACAGCAGTCTCCAGAAAAGGTGGCCCAACTCCCGCCTGCTTGTCCTTGACACGGCCTCTCCTCTCTGTTGGAGTCCAACCTCCAGTTCTTGAGAGACATCTTTTTTTTAGTTTAGTTTAATCGTTTGTCTTGCTACACCCCCGCGGGATGCTGCCGTTCATTTTTGTCCTGCGTCCACCTCGTCGCCCTCGCCCACTCTTTATTTTTATTTTTTAATTATTACTATTTTTTTTTTCTGTCGTTGCATCCATGCATGCCTTGTCCCCACATATGTACGTGTAGCTGCTTACGTGTAGCATTGGCCCATTTCTCCACAACCCCCTCTTGGAGCAGAATGGCTGAGGGGGACGAGGTGGGGCGTGGGGCCCTTCTGGCGAGTGGCGATGCGGAGCAGGCGTATCTGCTTGACCGGATTGGCCAGCAGGCGGCAATAGAGAAGCTGCAAGGGGTGAAAATTGTGCTGCGAAGAGGAATCCCTACGCCGTCCGAGGAGGAACTAGCGTCCATTACTGATCGCCGTGTGAAACGGACGGAGATGATGAGGTTGGAGCGGCACCTTGCATCTGTGAACAGGCGCACGGAGGCTTGGGACGACCACGTTTCATACGAACCTCAGACTCGCTGCGTGGACGAGGCCCAGCCCGTGCACGTGGAGACGACGAGTCTGGAGGGACGCGCTGTGATCCTTGCACCACTTCTGGCGATGTTTCGCATGCTAATATGCAACAATCGTGCCAAGAAACGACTGGAGCGACTTCGTACGAGGCAGTCACTGCTTTTTCCCGAAATCATGACCAGGCTCAGTGAGCGGCAAACAGTTGTAGAGGCGGTTGGCCTCGTGGAGGAGCACGCGTCTGTGATGCCAGCGTTTGTTAACCGGGTTGCCCCGTTGCCAAAGTTGTTTTTGATGGCATCTGCATTTGACGTGAAACCACTCCGTAGTCCATTTGTGTTTCTCTCGAGGCAGTATAAAACCGAGCGACTGCCGGAATTTGCTCTCGACCTTAGCCAAGCAGTGGACAAGGAGTATGCTACGTATGTGAAACCTGACCACAACGAGACTGCCGCTGTAACTCTTTCGGATTTTGTTCAACCACTTGTGACACTTGAAACGTTTGATGTACATAGGCGAGCACATGACGCGGTTCATAGGCGAAACCTAGTGTTGGGGTACGACACCTTCAGCAGTGCTGCTCGAGAACCACAAGCCTTTGCGCATGTCGAGAAGCGAGAAGAGGCAGGTAAGGCCGGTGACACTGTCAGCGGTGTTGAGCTCTTTCACGAACTCTCGCATCTTGGCATCCCCTCGAAGCTAGTGGGTCCTCTGCCTGAGGACTCAATTAGCGGAAGTGACAGCGAGGATGCTTCTTCACCGTTTCAGGCGGATGTTTCTTGGGTGCCAGTGTCCTCCATTCCCAAAAAGAAGGATGCTGATGAGTCACTGCGACCCTGAGAGACAATGCAACAAATGCCGCTAGTGACAATTTATGTGAAACGCAACAGCAACCCAGAAATTTCTTTTTATTTCTCATATATATATATATATGTCTATTTATGTATAACTGGTGTCAGCTGCACATTTCATATAGTCATTTATTTACATTGATTTTTTTCTTAACTGATTTGTTTGCTATACCGTACTGTTTAGCGCAGAAGTACCTAGTTGTTTAAAGTGGTGTCTGACGTTGAACTCACCGTAACTTGACCCCGGCAGAATGGCTGCTAGGCTTTCTGTATTGGGCGAATGGAAGTCTGATAGTGCTGTACATGAGTGCGAAATATGTAGGGCCAAATTTAATTTTGGTCGCCGGCGTCACCACTGTCGCTACTGCGGCGGCATTTTTTGCGACTCATGCTCGAGTTCCTTTGTTATATTACAGAAGCTGCATAAAACGAGGGCGCGACGGGTTTGCCGCACATGTTTGTCATTGCTCTCAACGGCACAGCCGAATGCAAGTCGGAGTTGCGACGAAGCTCAAACTCAGCAGCTTCACTCGGCTGATGCAAATGCTTGCAGCTGTGACTCCGATCCTTTGACCGCTCAATCTTCTGAGGCAGCGTCGGCTACTTTTCTGACGCCACAGCACGGGATAATTCCACGCGCCACGGATAACACTGCTGTGGAGGATGACGTTGACGACGCGGAATCGGAAGACGAGCATGTTTCGGCCGCCGTTGCAGGTGTATACTCCTCTGTGGATGACGGCCAACCCACCAGTAGCTTAGCGTTTCTCGCCGCACTGCAAGATAATCTTAGATATTACGAAGACTCGGATGTTGTGCATGTGCTTATATATGTATCAGCTACAAGGTACCAAGTAATTTTAGTTACAATCAGTGAAGGGGAAACCATGCTGATGCTTGCTAGACGCTTGCTGGATACCTATTTTAGGTTGGACAGTGGCGCTTTCAAGTCTATTAGCGCTTCAGAGCGAGATATTTTACTGCAGAAATTGAGGTTTTCAAGTGAATCCGTTATCATAGACAGCGATGCCAATGCGATGGATGTGGCGTCCTACTGCAAACATTTGGTCCTTTCTACTCTTCCTATTTCAGAGCTGCAGCAGGGGCACGATGGTGATCTTATTCGAGGATTTTTCCGCAGTGAACTCTGCAGTGAGTATAAAGAAGATGTGATGTGTTAGGTTGTTGTTGTTGTTTTTTTGCTTATGTCGGTGTTTTTTCCCCCTTCGACGCGTGTGTATTCTATGGTTGTTTTTGACGTTTTTTCTCTTTTCTTTTTTCACGGCGAAATGTTGCTTTTTCTTGTATTCTCTTTTTTTTTTGCATGGCGGACAAAGACAAATGTCCAAGGATGCTCGCTAAGGCGACCGGAAAACGAACCTTTGTTGTTCCTTGTCTTTCTGCCCCTTTTTTGATTTCTGCTTCTGAGTTGTGTTACTTAACTTCTCGTGTCGGATCCTGGAAAGCTGCACCTCTGGATGCGTTGGTGCACCCCGATCGAGGCAGAAGCCCAATGCAGAACTCAGTGGGGCTTTCGTTCAGGTAACTGCGATGCCAGTGCGCGCATGCCTTGCGTGGGCTTACCCTCCACAGTGTCTACAAGAATTTGTCTGCATGCCCCGCATTCTCTTTGCAAAAGCGCATGGAAAGGAGGTGACGCCAGATAGGGCCAAATAACCGAATTTGGTGTCTTATTCTTTTACGCTCTTCCCCTGCCTGTGCCTCGTTTTTTTTTCCCAACGATACCGCGTTGGATGCCAGTGCGAGTACAGACCTTTTTTTTATTTTTCTTGTTGTTGTTTTCCAGACGCCTTTTCCCGCCTGAAATTCCCTTCGACCAGCACGCTCAAAGTGGGAGGGTGCTGTGGTTGCGGGGCCCCAAGGATTGCCGTTTTGTTAGCTTCCAACGAGAGTCTGTTGATCGTCGCAGAGGCCTCACGAGAACACTTTTTTTGTTTTTGTTTTGTTCTTCGGGCGAGACTGTGAGTGAGTGAAGGAACCTCTCCGCAGCGGAGGAAGCTGGGCGCAACCGGCCAAACTGTGTGATGTCTCCCGTTCTTTCCTCGTTTTTTATGGGTATTTTGGGGGTCAGGGCCTTCTCCCGCCGCAATCCTCGTTTTGCCTTTTTTTTTCATTTTTTCTTATTTGTGAAGGCAAATGAACGTAGCAGCGTTTCTAAAGGAGTTTAAAAGGGCGAGACGAGGCGTTGGCGACGGCGGACCCCTTCGCAGTGGCGAGGTGGTGGGTGCCGCGGGAGACGCGGCTACAATCTCTCGAAGGGCAACCCCGCCTGAGACGACCTCGCCGCAGGATGATTCAGGGGAGAGTGAGCACGGCGACGGCGAGCGAGACGACGACCAAGCCCCGCAGCCATATCTCGGTGGTAAGAGGCAAAGGTATGATCGATTTTGGCCGCGGAGGGAGGAGGTAGGGGTGGGCCGTCCGCGCGAGTCTTTTGCGGAGCTAAAAACGTATCGAACGAACCACTTTGTAGGGACAGACCGCGGCATTCCTGACGCAGTGCGTCAACGGGTAACTCGCCCTCTTGTTTCACGGGCACTAACCAAAAGAGGTGATAAGCCGAACTTTAATAAGCTGCGCGATGAACTTCTGCGGAAAAAGAACTCTCTTAGTCAGTCATTGTTGGCGAGAGCATCTCCAGAGCCTCTTTCTGTGGATGCGTCTCGGGATGCTGCACTGCACACGGGCACCGAGGCCGTGCTCCTTGGGATAGATGATCTTTTTGCCTCGGACACCGTGACTGTAGATCCACTTCCTTTTGCCGGGATGAAGAGCGTGGCAAAAGCGTCGGCTGAAGGTGGAAGCGAGGCAGCCACAGCCACGTCGCAAAATGCCAAGGAAAAGCAGCAGCAGCAGCAGCAACAACAACAACAACACTGCACTGACGAGGCGAAAGTGTGCTCTGAGAAAGCCACGACGGCAAGGGTAAGTCTGTTTGCTCGGGCAAAGATGTATTCTGGTGCGGCAGCTCCTCTCATGAAGAAGGAGTCAGAAGTCTTGAATGCGCGAAAGATTTCTAACAAGCCAGCAAGTGAAAAGGTTGAAGGAATCAATACAACAAGAAGGGAAACTTTTAAATGAAACAAAGGCATTTTTTTAAAGCTGAGATTAGTGCTTCCTGGAATGTGTGTATGTGTGTGTGTGTTTATTTGGGATGAATCTTGACTGAGCCTTAATTGCTTGGTACTAAAAGTCCATGTTTTCCTGCAGGAGTGGCCTCTCGTGCTTTACTTCATGTACTCAAGATGATGTAGGGAGCGGTCGTAGTCGCAGGAGAGAGAAGAGAAGAAGCAGAGAGAGTGAGAGGATTTGCCACTTGCAATGGATCGGTATATCATTGGGGCCCCAATTGGTGAGGGCCGCTTTGGTGTTGTTCGCGCTGCAGTTGTAAAAGACTCTGGAATGCCGGCTGCAATCAAATTTCTTACCATGTCCCGTCTTGATGAGGGTATTCCACATCCTACGGCGCGAGAACTACTCGTTGCCATGCGTTTGGTTCACCCCTTTATTATCCGTACGTATGAAATATTTCCTGCTGGCTGCTCCCTGGCGTTGGTGATGGAGCGTTGCAAGGGCGATCTGGCCGTCGTTCTCTCGGGGAGAAGTCCCAGCAACCCGCTTCCCGCATGGAAGGCGAAATCTCTGTTTAAGATGCTACTGTTGGCGTTAGCATACATGCACAGCGAAGGTGTTCTCCATCGTGATGTGAAGCCTTCCAATTGCTTCTTGACCGAGGAGGGAGAACTACGCCTTGGCGATTTTGGGTTGAGCCGTGTGTGGGAGAAGGAGGCGTCCATGACGCACGAGGTGGTTTCGAGGTGGTACCGGGCTCCCGAGTTGCTCCTGGGTCAGCGACACTATGGAACGGAAATTGATATGTGGTCCTCCGGGTGCGTGTTTGCAGAACTGTTGCGCGGGTACAGTGGAGCATTTTTTGCAGGCGATGGTGAAATCTGGCAGCTCTCACGCATCTTTGACGTATTGGGGACACCGACCCCCAAATCCTGGCCTTCAGCTGTCTTGCTTCCAGATTGGGGAAAGGTACATTTTGAGCCCAAGTCTCCTCGTTCTCTGCGTGCGTTTTTTCCAGACGCCTCCGACTTTGCGTTGGATTTGCTGCAGCAGTTACTCTGCTTGAATCCGCAAAAGCGTTTGACTGCTGCTGCCGCTCTTCGTCATGCCTACTTTAGCGAAGACCCAACTTAGAGTAGACTAAGGAGCGGGAAAACACTGGTGGCAGTGCGTGTTTGTGCGTGTGTGTGGTGTGCGATGAAGAAGTGGAAATCATTCATAGTATGTGTGCTATTGCTTCTAGGTTTTCTTGTCGGTGTTTTCAACGGGTCAGCTTTTGTGCGCAACGGTCGTTTTTTTTTCTATTCCTTTTTCTTTCGTGCTGAAGTTTACGAGTGCCAACTCAAGTTACCCCCCAAGTCACGGAAGAAGACGAATAAAACACGGACACCTCTCTTTCTCGCTCTCTCGCTGTGCGTGCGTAGGGGAGAACCAGACATCTACAGGGATGTATCGCTCTTTGCATCGCTCGGCCCTGTCGCTGTCGGCGTTTGTTCGATGGACTGCCACGAACAGTTACCTTAATCGCCACATTGGCCCCTCAACGGAAGAAGCGTTGTCTATGCTTCGAGTAGTTGGCAAGGAAAGTCTTTCAGAGCTCATGGCTGCCGCTATTCCAGAAAGTATTTTGCGAGACCCGTTGCGAGAGTTTCCGGCTATGAGCGAGGAGGATGCCCTTTCACTTGTCCGGTCACTGGGCTCACGGAATAAAGTGTTAAAGAGTATGATTGGGCAGGGGTACTATGAAGCTATCACTCCACCTGTCATACTTCGTAACGTCATTGAAAATCCTGCCTGGTACACTCCATACACGCCCTACCAGGCTGAAATATCCCAAGGCCGTCTGGAGTCGCTATTGAATTTTCAGTCTGTGATTACAGACTTGACAAAGATGGATGTGGCCAATGCATCCCTCCTGGATCAGGCTACTGCGTCTGCGGAGGCAATGCATCTTGCTTATCAGTACGGCCGGAAGAAACGCACGAACTTCTTTGTCTCAAAGGATGTTTTTCCTTCCTGCATTGAGATGGTAAAAACAAGAGCAGAACCATTGAACATAAGCGTTGTAATTGGTGATCCCAACCTGATTGATTGGGGTGATGCTTCCCTCTGTGGGATTTTGGTACAAACTCCAGATGCCAGCGGAATGCTTCACGAGTTTACCTCCTTGTTTGAGAAGGCAAAGCAACACAGTGTGATTGCTTGCTGTGGGACGGACTTGATGGCCTCTGTTCTTGTGAAACCGCCAGGAGAAATGGGGGCCGACGTTGTTGTGGGCTCGGCCCAGCGTTTTGGTGTACCACTAGGATTTGGGGGACCTCATGCCGCATTTTTTGCTGTCAGGGAGGAGTTGAAGCGACTGATTCCTGGACGCATTATTGGGGTAAGCAAGGATTCAGCGGGTGATCCGTCGGTGCGTATGGCACTGCAGACGCGGGAGCAGCACATTAAGCATGAGCGCGCCACATCCAATATTTGTACAGCACAGGCGCTTTTGGCAAACGTTGCGGCGTTTTACGCCATTTACCACGGCGCGGAGGGCCTGCGAGAGATTGCGAGGCAGATGCATAAAAAGGCCAAAATACTTTCAGTTGGTTTGGAGTCTGTGGGGCATGCGGTGGTCACGAGCGCATTTTTTGACACCCTCACCGTAAATTTGAAAGGCATCACGCCGGAGGACTACGTGACACGCTGTGTAGAAAAGGGCATTAATATTTTTGTCAACTACAGTCAAGGCACCGTCTCCATCTCTGTGGATGAAGCTACCACAGAGGGCCACGTCGTGTCGCTGTTGGAGGCGGCGGGATTAAAACTACCTGTGATTGACGCACTCTCCAAACTAGCAGAAAAAAAGAGCGCGTTGCCGTTGCCAATGCTGAGAACGTCCACCTTTCTTGGTCAGGGAACCTTTCAAAGGTACAAAAGCGAGAGTGAGCTTATGCGGTATATTCACCGCCTTGGCCGTAAGGATTATGGTCTCACGCATGGCTGTGTGCCGTTGGGTTCGTGCACCATGAAACTCAACCCTGCTGCTGCCATGCTGCCCCTGTCATGGTCAGAATTTACCAACCTTCACCCACTTGCGCCCACGGAACAAACACGCGGGTATAGTACCTTGTGCCTAGACATGGAGCAAAAGATTCGGGACATCACCGGCTTAGACGCCGTCTCACTTCAGCCCAATAGCGGTGCTCAAGGTGAGTACGCTGGTCTTCGTGTGATTCGCGCCTACCACCTCTCAAAAAAAGAGGGCCATCGCAACATTTGCCTGATTGCAGAAAGCGCGCACGGCACAAACTTTGCTTCGGCCCTCTTGGCAGGAATGACGATTGTCAAAGTCAAGTGTTTAGCCAACGGCAGTATCGACATGAGCGATTTGGAAAATTCATGCAAGAAGCATAAAAGGAATCTCTCGTGCATTATGGTAACGTATCCAAGTACATATGGTTTGTTTGACAGGGACATCTTGGACATAACGTCGATGGTACACTACCACGGAGGGCAGTGCTACATTGATGGCGCCAACATGAATGCCATGGTGGGCTATACAGCGCCTGGATACATTGGGGGGGATGTCTGCCATATTAACCTTCACAAAACGTTTTGCATTCCTCACGGTGGTGGTGGTCCAGGCATGGGACCCATTGCCGTTCGTCAACACCTTGCTCCTTTTTTGCCAGATTCCGTTTTTATTCAAAATGTTGGTGGATCACAACCTTTTGGCCAAGTCTCTCAAGCAGCGTACGGATCCGCATCCCTTCTTACAGTCTCATACATGGCAATGATGATGCTCGGTTCGCGTGGTCTTAAGAAATGCACAGAGTATGCGATTCTTAACGCCAACTATTTGAAGAAGCGCCTTGAAGGCCACTACCCAATCCTTTTTCTGGGGGCAACGGAGCTATGTGCACACGAGTTTATTATTGATTTGCGACCATTCAAAAAAACAGCAATGATAGAAGCAGAAGATGTGGCCAAACGACTTATGGATTACGGTCTTCACGCCCCGACCCTGGCGTTCCCCGTTGCAGGCACACTCATGGTTGAACCTACGGAGTCGGAGTCCAAGCGTGAGATGGATCGTTTGGCCGATGCACTTATTTCCATTCGTGGGGAAATCGCAGCCATCGAGAGGGGAGAACAGAGCATCACTAACAACGTTCTCAAGAATGCCCCGCACACGGCCAAATGTGTCACTTCAGATGACTGGGGAAGACCGTATACCCGCAAGACTGCTGCATTCCCTTCAAGCTACTCCTACACGGAAAAATTTTGGCCTGCCGTGGGCCGCATAGATGGGACCTATGGGGATCGAAACTTGATGTGTACTTGTGTTTCTCTTGATTCTCATGAATAACATGTTTCTAATGAGGCATATATTTTTTATTTCTCTCCTTGGTGTGGGTCTAGGTGTGTTGTATGTGAAGGCATCATCTTCAGGTTTCACTCACATCCTCCACCTGGAGTTGTACTCTCCTACAGTTAAGCTGCGTCGTCACTCACCTATTATTATTTTATTATTGGCATTGATCTTTTTTCTTTCTCCTGTTTTGCGCTAGTGTTTCCTTTGCCTGGCTTCTTCAAGGTGGTGCTCTCACAAAGTAATGTAAAACCATTTTGTTTTGTTTTGCGATTTTCTTCCTTTAATGAGTTTGATGCCAAGCTATGGCGAACTCGTGTCTGGTTACTGGAGTCAAAAAGCTGCCAGATGCTCGCTGCCTCAAAACGGCAGAGTTTTGGCTAGCATCAAGTTGGATACTTGCTTGCTCTTCGCTAACCCACATCTTGGATGTAGCTTTAGTGAAGCTGTCACGGAAATTGCACACACTCGTGTGACGAAGCGCAGAGGAATGTGCTCAGCTGCCTCAACTGGTAGTCTAAATGACTTATCTGCCGATGGAATGTATAGCAGGACATAAGCAAGGTGAGTGATCCAGTGAATCTTTAGGTTCCTACTGTCACTACACGTCACACGTGCAACGAAAAGTTTTACTAGTTTCTTCTTTTACATGCCGGTCTCGTTTGTAAACATGTACCATTTAAACTCGTCCGTACATGATTCACTTGAAGAGGCCGCGATTGCGGACAACTGACAGTGTCTCAACTAGAAGATATGTTTCTTTATTTTTATTTTTATTTTTTGCATTGATGTGATTCTTCCTCCTTCAGATGGCGTCGTTCTGGCTGGTGTGCCGCCCCAGTGGGTGCAGCCGAATTCGACTCTGAGGGCCTCGAGCAAACGATGTTTGTCGCTTCTGTCTCTTGATGAGTTGCCATCCTGGGCGTGTGCGCGCCTGCTCCGCGCGTTCTTTGGGCTGCACGCACCGGGCGAGCAGCCTGAAACTGTGGAGACGTTGACGCCGCCCTCCTTCTCCTCCTCCTCTTTTCCCGACTGAAGGAGTGCGTGCGGGAGGGGGCCGCCTCGCTTTATTCGGCGGGGCTTTGTTTTTGTGTTTTTGCAGGGGCAGCGGGGCAATTGAGGGCAAACTCCCCATTGCGGGGGTGCGGGCTTCGGAGTTGTTTGTGGTGAAGGTAAACTGTGTGTGTGTGTGTGTTTCGGCGAGGGAGCAGCAGCGGGGCGGTGACGGTCCCAATGAAATGTAAACGATGTTTGTGCTTGCGGACGTCCAGTGGGAGATGAGGCAGATGCATCCGCCCCTGCGGGTAATGTGCACCGTTTTGTGAGACCACCTGCCCTATACGCCTTTTTGGTTTTGTTTTTGCCTCGGGGGTCCATCGTGACGGATGCGGCGGCAACAGGGCCGGCTGATGCCAAATGCTCTGTGGGCCTGGGTCCCTCCTCTTCGCGAGCCCCCCGGCTGTTTGGCCATGCACAGCTGCCGCCCATGCACCTCGCAACTGCCAAGTCTGTGGAGGACACGTGCCACGGCACCGGCGCCGTCTTGGATGAGCGTATTTTCTATGTTTTTGTGCAGAGCCTGACACCACAACCGCCGGACGCGGTTGTGCAAATGCGCTTGGGCGGCCTCTGAGGTGCGATTGTGGACCGGGTGCCACAAGGCGCCTGCGTCACGGGCTTACCTCCCTTTTTGGGGGAACCTAAAAACAAACAGACTACCCGCCCGCACCGCCCCCGCCTCTGGTTGAGGGCGAGCCACGCCGCTGGGATGTCTGCCGTTGCTGTGTGGCACCTTGTGAAGGCCATTCACAAGGCGCCGGCTTTCCTTGGCGTGCAGGCCAATGCCTCAATGCTTGCAGGCCCAACACTGCGCCTGGGGTTGTCATTTGCCGGCGGCGTTCACCTGGGATTTGAAGGCTCTGCTGCGGTGGAGGATTCATTGGAAAAGGTGGAGGGGTTGCTTGCCCTGATGGGGCTTCGGGAGGCCTTTGGTGGCACAACCCAGCACACGCCGGTTGCTGAAGAGGGCTTTACTGGAGCTCAGCTTCCCGCAAGCCCTCAACCTCACTGCAGAAGTCGTGCGTAATGGTTTCATGTGCGAAATGCACGGTGAGGATTGCAGTGCGCCGATTTCCATCGGTGTCACAGTTCAACATCTCCGTGTCGGTTAGCCTTGCTGAGTGTGTGCAGTCGCATCGTGACAAATAGCCTGGTCCCGCTATTGGCACAACTTTTGGGTAAAATGCTCGGACACACACGATGAGCTGTGGGGCTGTTAAGGATTCCCGCGCATGCCTTCCGGATGCTGGGAAAAGTGAGTATTCAACTCCACCCTCAACGCCGCCTTTTGGCGAGCGTGATTGCTGTGGGTGCTGCCGCTTATTTTGGCAACAGCAGCCGCCGCCAGGAGTCTATTGGCGTTAGCGTCGAAATGTGGCAGCTACACGCGAAGGTGACCCCGTATCAATTGAGGTGTGCACTAGTGGGAGACGCTGCCTTGATGACTCTGACTGTTCTCGCAGCCTTTGGCTTTTACTTGGACCAGCGCCATGACTGCGGCCGATTTGTTTGTTTGTTTGGGAGAAGATTTTCCATCAATGAGTTTCCCACTCATGGACTCCACACACACAAAGTAGTGTATTTTGCGGGCGTGTACGTGTTTGCGGTTCCTGTTTTTTGCTTTCGGCGGTGTACGCCCTTGCACCACGCTGCCGGTCACAGTTGTAATGCACGCCATTCCCGCAAAAACCTGGCCTGGGGATCTTGGGGCCGTTTGGCTGCTTTGGCAAATTCTCGTTCCTCGATTCCCGCGGGGCGTGCTCCTTGTGGGGTCAGGGCCGCAGCTAGAAGGCGTTGCCTCGGCGGCGATGCGTGCTGGGTTTTACTTCTTCCTTTGCGGCAGCGGCACTTTTCATTTTTATTGGGGGATGACGCGACCACCGTCTGGCGCCGCGACACGCCACTTCGCAAAAAACGCAGCGTCGAAGGGGCCAGTTGCCTGCGATGTGCCCGAGGCACAACCCAATGGGAGGGCGCGAAGAAGGCACGCGA